TCAACAATCTTGATAGTATCTTCAACAGGAGTAGATTCCATCTCAAGAAACCACTTTCTTTGTTCATCCATAAGAAGCAACTCCTCATTTGTTCAAGTTTTATCATGAGATTGCAATAATTCAGTCCCATCTTCAGGCTCCACTTCTAATTCTGGTTCTTTTCTACTTCCACCTCATCTGCAGTGACTTCCTCCCCTAAAGTTTTGAACCCTTTAAAGTCATCCATGAGGGCTGGAATAAACTTTTTCCAAACTCCTGTTAATGTTGATGTATGACATTTTCCTATAAATTATGAATGTTCTTACTGGCAGCTAGAATCGTTTTTATTTTGCCCAGATCATCAGAGGAATCACTATCTATGGCAGCTATAGCCTTTAAAGTGTATTTTTTTTAGATAATTAGACTTGAAATATGAAGTGACTCCTTGGTCCATGGGCTGCAGCTGGCTATTGTGTTAGCAGGCATGAAAACAGTAATCTCATTGCACATCTCCATCAGAGCTCTTGGGTGACCAGCTACATTGTCAATGAGCAGTAATATTTTGAAAGAGATCTTTTTTCTGAGCAAATCTGAACAGTGGGTTTAAAATATTCAGTAAACCATGTTGGTTTTGTTTTTTAACCTGAACCATATTCAGCCTGCTTTTTGGTTCTATTTATAGAACACAGAGTAGATTTATCATAATACTTAAGGGCCCTAAGATTTTCAGAATGGTAAATGAGCATTGGCTTCAACTTAAGGTCACCAGCTGCATTGGCCTTTAACAAAAGACCCAGTCCTTTGAAGTTTTGAAGCCAGGCATTAACTCCTTCTCTCTAGCTATGAAAGCCCTAGATGGCATCTTTTTCAATGTAGTTGAAACAGCCTTCTATTGGAAAATCTATTGTTTAGTGCAGCCACCTTCATTAATTATCTCAGGTAGATCTCCTGGATAACTTGCTGCAGCTTCTTCATCTGTACTTGGTGCTTCACCTTGCACTTGGATGTTATGGAGATGGTGTCTTCCTTAAACCTCATGAACCAACTTCTGCTAGCTTCATAGTTTTCTTCTGTAGCTTCCTCACCTCTCTTAGACTTCATGGAATTGAAGAGAGCTGGGACCTTGTTCTGGGGAGGCTTTGGCTTAATTCTGTGGCTGGTTTGATCTTCTCTCCAGACCACTAAAACTTTCTTCACTTCAGCCAAAAAGCTGTTTTGCTTTTTTATCATTTGTGTGTTCAATGGAGTAGCACCTTTAATTTCCTTGAAGAACTTTTCCTTTGCATTCACAGCTTGGCTAACTATTGGGTGTAAGGGGTCTAGATTTCAGCCCTGTTTCAGATTTTGCCATGCCTTCCTCACTAAGCTTAATTATTTCTAGCTTTTGAATTTAAGTGAGAGATACGCGACTCTTCCTTTCTCTGGAACACTTAGAAGCCATTGTAGGGTTATAAACTGTCCTAATGTCACTATTGTTGTGTGTCAGGGAACAGGGAGGCCCAAGGGTGAAGGAAAGAGATTGGGGAAATGTCCAGTTGGTGGAGCAGTCAGAAAACACACATTTAAGTTACCTTCTAATGTGGGTGTGGTTAGTGACACCCTAGAACAAGTATGAGAGTAACATCAAAGATCCTAGGTCACCATGACATTTAATAATGAAAAAGTTTGAATATTTCAAGAGTTACCAAAATGTGACACAAAGTGAATGTTGGAAAAATGGTACCAATAGACTTGTTCAGCAAATTGCCACAAATCTTCAGTTGGTAGAAAATGCAGTATTTGTGAAGCACAGCAAAATGAGGTATGCCTGTATATATCATGCAAGTCTCTATGGGCCTTTTAAGCTGAAAAATCTGATAATCTCGTGTGTGGCGGGTCCCCTTGTACATAACAAGTTTTTTTTTTTTTTTCCCCCTCTTTTTAAGATTCTCTCCTTATCTTTAAATTTGACAATTTAATCACAGTGTATCTCAGTGCTAATCTCTTCGGGTTCATCTTATTTAATATTCTGGGCATCCTGGATCTGCATGCCTGTTTTCCTTTCCCAGGTTAGGGAAGTTTTCAGCCATTATTATTTAAATACATTTTCTGCCTCTTTCTCTATTTCTCTTAGGGGACAACATCAAGCAGACCAACATTCACATTACGGGGTCCCCAATCTTTTTTCTTTTTGCTGCTCTGATTGGATAATTTCCACTGCCCTTTGAATTCATGGATCCTTTTTTCTGTGTCTTCAAGTGTGCTGTGCAACTCCTCTGTAGTATTTTTCTGTTCAGTTATTGTATTCTTCAGCTCTGTCACTTCTATTAGGTACTTTGTTCTGTTCTTGTTGAAATTTTCACTTGATTCATGTGTTATTCTCTTGAATTCAGTGGACATCTTTATCACTGTTATTTTGAACTCATTGTCAGGCAAATCACTTATCTCTATTTCATTAAGGTTTTTTTTTCTGGGGTTTTATCTTGTTTTTTTGTCTGGAACATATTCCTCTGTTTCTTCCTTTTGATCTATTCTCTGTATTGGTTTCTATGCATTAGATAAAAGAGCCAAGTCTCCCATTCTCCTCTGGCTTATTAGCTCTTGGCTGTCTCTCAACCTCTGTGACTGTCCAAGCAGCCTGCTTTATTCTTAGTGGCTCCCAGAAGTGGAGGTTGTGCCAAGACCTTTCAGTGTCTCAAAGGGGAGGATCTCAGTCAGCATCTGGATTCAGGCTGATTGGAAAGCAGAACTTGAGGTAGTAACTTTTAAAGTTTGCAGATTTCTCTTTCAGGGGAAGATAGGAAGATGGGCATTTCTGTATATGCTCCCTCTGTGCTGAGGTCTGTGGTGCCAGACAGTTAATAAGTGTTTCTTTGGTTGCTACTGTCCTAATGAACTCATAAACATGTGCCATATTCTCAAGGGATGGGTCCTCTGAGCATCAGATACAGAAGCCAGGGTGCCAGATGTGTAGACAAGCTTCTTTCTTGAGGTTAACTGGAACAGAGGGAGAGCATGAAGAGGACTTATCAGTTTGTTAAATTAGAAACCTGCTTATCAGGCCAAAACTCTAAGATAAGCAAATAGACTTCTTTCACAGAAAGATGGGGTGCTTTTCAGTCTGCTGCTTCTACACTGGGTCCTGAGGGATGGTTGCCCTGAGGTTTTTAGTTTTGTATAGCCTGTGAGTCTCATGGACATAAGTCTGGTGGCTTTCAAAGCTACCTGTTGCACAGGGGCTCCTGTCTCAGATACACATCTTAACAGTTGGGGTTCAAATCTTTTGCTCCTCAAGGAGCAGCTCAGAATTGTGAGTTCCCTCCCAAATCTGAGTTGTGGCACTGGGGTTGGGGTTCATGGTGTCTTGGCCTCTTCTACATATTGCAATGTGGGTTTTTTGCTTGTTTGTATAATATATAGGAGTCACTCAACTAATTTATTTTTCAGAGGAAATTGTTCTTTAGGTAGCTGTATATTTGGTGTGTCCATGGAAGGAGAGGAGTTCAGGATCCTCTTATGTCACCATCTTGAACTGGAATCTCTTGTCTTTTTGATAAAAGCCATTCTAATAGGTAGGAGGTGATGATATTGTGATATGGATTTTCATTTCTCCAATGAGCAGTGATGTGTAGCACCATTGCATATACCTGTTGGCTGTATTTATATCTTCTTTGGAGAAATTTGTTGAGGTCCTCTGAGAGACCCTGGAACTGGTACGCAGATGACTGCAGGGTTCCTAGGTAGGAATGAGGTCTCTCTGTCTGTTACCTGATACATGGGTGGCCCAGACTCCTCCTGGATCCCATAGCTCTCTCAAAGGCACTAATATTTAGGGATGGATGTGCAATTTTTACTGTGGGGCTGGGGGACAAAAACGAGGGATGTCTTAGGCTGCCGTGATGCTAATGTCACTCTTCAATCTTAGGACAATATTATTTGCATTATATATATATATATATGTTTGTACATGTGGGAGTATTTCAATGAGATCAAGTTCCAAAATGACTAGGTCACAGGGAATATGCAGTTTTCATTTTGGTAGATATAGCCAAATCACTTTTTATAGAGGTTTACACTCTATCCACAGGATAAGAGTGCCTATTTCTCCAACTATTGACTTTATTTTGCCAGTCTGAAAAAGAGCAGTTCATTAAAGCCCTAACGGGCATGTATCTTTATATGTCCTTTCCAGTGAACTGTCCCTATTCTTTGTGTATTTTTTTTTAATAAAGATTTTTTAAGTAACCTCTACACCCATGTGGGGTTCGAGCCCACAACCCTGAGATCAAGAGTCACATGTTCTACTGACTGAGCTAGCCAGGTGCCCCACTTTGTATATTTTTTTGTTTTGGGTTTTGGTCTTTTCCTTATTGATTTATTGGAGCTCTTTTTTTAATTGATTGGTGTAACAAAATTTAGAATATTTTTTTCTGTAAAAAAAAAAAACAAAAAAACCACAACACAAAACCACAACAACCAAAAGAACCAGGGGGGTTTTGGTAAGAAGCAAAAACTGAGGTTTTAAAAGTGCCCCTTCCTTCAAGCCCATCCTGCCATGACCACAGTAATTCCCAGAGTAGGAGTATTTGATGCATAGTGCAGCAAAGCTCTTTAAGTAAAAATACTTTGAATGTCCTCTATGGCAGATCCTCACACTTAGGCTTTCCTGGAAAATGTTTTAAAGCCAGGTTAGAATAGGCAAAATTGCTGAATCAGAGCAAAAAGTGAAAAGTCCCCAATCCCCTCAGGGAGTCAATAGTATACAAGTTGGTAAGCATTTAAAAAGACAAAATATGCAATAGCTTTTAAAAATTAAGCTATGGAAGATACCCCAGAGAGGGTACTTTATATTTGCTGTTAGGGCAGGGTTCACAGGGTGAAACCAAGAAGGGGCCTTGAGGGTTGTCCTCAGCCTGGGGTTGGAGCCATTGGCTGTCAGAGTCTGTGTTTTTGGGTACATGACAGCACCCAGGGACACTGCTCGAGGGAGGTTTTATGAAACTCACCTGCCTCTCCCATGGCATTTTCCCCCCCGCCCCCAGCTCATGTGTTCGTCCGTGCAGAAGGCTCTGTTTGAGGAGGAGGACCATGTCAAGAAACTGCAGCAGAAGGTGGCCACTCTGGAGAAGCGGAACAAACAGCTTCGGGATCGGGTGAAGAAGGTCAAGAGGTCATTGAGGCAGGCACGGAAGAATGGTCGCCACCTGGAGCTGGTGAACCAGAAGCTCAGCGAGAAATTAGCAGCTGCAGCAGGTGCCCTCCCACACATTAATGCCCTGGGGCAGGAGCCACCAGGTGCCACGTACCTGCGGGGGTAGCAGGGACTGGGTAGTGGCCTAGCCTGGCTCTGCTGGAACATGGTGCCTCTTGCCAGGGAATGTAAAGTGATGGTAGGTTTTAATGTGCACATAGGTCAAAAAATCTTGTAGATGATGTTTTTAATATGCATTTGGTAGTGCCTAGTTACTCGAAGGGGCAAGTCTTGCGAATTTTCTTAGTTGCTGGGCTCCTTCCCTCTCTGCCTCGCTCCCAGACCTAGTGCTTGCAAGTCCAGAGGCAGCACGATCCTGGAATATCATGTGCTTGCCTAGGGCCTGTCTTCAGCTTTCAGGACCACACTGGAAAGTGTACTGACTGTGGAAAGAATATTTTAGAATCTCTAGATGTACAAGAATCAAGGGTTTCAACCTTATTTAGAAGAGAGGCAGTGGGATCTCCAGGTCTGAGCTCCAGGACCATCATTAGTTTTGAGAAGGGATCTGCAGCAAGTCTTGGAACATTCTGGTGTCTCCTTTGCCAGTTTTGGAAGGAGGAGGGCAGGCTTGCAAAGCACCCAAGGATGCCTGCAAATATACATGTGCACGGTGTCCTTACTCCAGCCAGCATTTCCTCACAGCTGAAGCATTGGGGGGGGGCGGGTGCGTGGGAGCAGGTAATTGAACAAGATGAATCATACCCAATTTCCAACACCAGTTACCCAGAGTTAAAGAGGACACCTATGGGTCACTTTAGTCTAAAGGAGAATTGCCTTTGTGGACTGGTCATGTTTTACCAAACCATGTTCCTGAGTTGGGAAGAGCCTGAGCAATATCTCAGCCCCTACTGAATGCAAATTTACTGCTTGCTCATTAACTCCTTCCAGCTGCTCGGAATTTGAGGTGAATTGACCCAGTACACTATTAACTTCTGTTCTGCAAAGATACCTCCTTACCTATTGGAATCAAGTGACCGTGCCTCATTCCCATGCAGGCACCCAAAGAGCTTGTTCCAGGCAGTTCTGCAGAGTCTCGATGCAAGCATTTTCACCACCTAAGTAAATTGGCTGTAAGGCAATTTTGCTGTCAGAAAATAACTGATTGTCAATAGAGAAATGAAACCAAACTACGTTCTCATTTTTCTATTACATGAATCTTAGCCCTCCTAATGGTCTATGACCAGTATACCTGGTGGTCTTAAAACAGTGGATGATAACTCCATATATCAACTTGATAGAAAATACAGTAACTAACTGGAAGTGTGAAATAGGACTATAAGGCCAGATTGCATACCATACTGTGATACAGAATGGTAGTTTACCAGTTATAACAACTCAGAAATGCATTACAGCTTTTCTTTTGTATGTCCCATAGAACTTTTGAACATCTCTTGATAGACATGCATCATTATGCTAAGAATGAACAGAAATGTAGAAGGCTTTCATAATGTAATACAAAGCTCAGTTACAAATATGCATCCTAGGATTTGGAGAATGGATACTTCTCTTAAAAAGGACATAATGAAGAAATTCGTAAGGTCCCTCTTTTATTTTTTGTTATTTTATCTTTTATGGCCAAATTGCCTTCTGGCCAATGAGTTATGCAGTGAAAATGCTTGTGGCAAAGATGCCTATGGTGGAAATACCAGACAGGGTTCCAGGCATTCCAATCTCTGCTTCTGTATGCACACACTTCCCACACACCAGGGCTGTCCAACCCTGGGAGTAATGTTTGCACATGAGCCCACTTGACACTGTGTCAAGTTTTGTACATGATCTCAGAGCACTTCACCCTGTTTGGAAAGAAACCTTTAAAGACAGTACTACAAGTAAAAAGAGTATCCACTATATAGAACATCTGAGCCCTTAATTTAGGTACATTTGATCCAGTTGCAGTTTTGTTCTTTTAAGAAGGCAACTGAGTGAGCGTCTTGTGATTGTCTTCTGATGGACCTCCAAATCTACAAGTCTCTTTTCCGTGTTCCAGATAGAACCTTCAGGTTCCTCATCAGGAAATCTCCCCCCCGCCCCAGACCACTCCACACACTGCAGCACCTGATTATGTTGTCCTGTCTGTTAGAAATGGCAATTATACTATCAGATTTCCCTTCCACTGCCTTTAGGAAAACCACATTCTCCTTGCTCTGGCAGCTGGTTGGGAGGACGGACCTGTGTCACTTGAGGCTACTGCTCAGAGGGAGATGTCTGCACTCTGGACAGGATAGAATGGGAGCTTTACTTTTCCAAGCTGCTTCTGCTCCTTTATTAGCTGTATCCTTCATAGTACGGTACAACAGTTTAGTCTTTCTGGGGCCATTAAAGCACTTTGGCTTCCACCCAAGGGAATGACAAGCCTCAGGGTGATTTACAGCTAGTGTTTTGAGAACTGTGGAACCTGGATCACTACAGCTGCATTATGTTCTGCCTTTTTAATAAATAGCGGTATTTCAGCCACAATGATAAGGTGATGTGTGTTTCTTTTGGGTCACTTTTGGGTCAGGGAGATTCCAGCTTTGGCCTGGAAAAGCACTTTCGATCCTTTGGGGGGCGCATCTGTAAGTAACAGCTGGGGCATGTAGGAGACTGAGCTCAGATCTCTTTTGATGTTCCCCTGGGCATATGACTTGACCCTCTTTCCCAGGGTTCCCATCTTTCAACACACCTGCAGAAAAGCAGTGGTATCTGGGTCTGCTCCTCACAGGGGAAAAGAAGCTTCATTAATCAATGTCTGCAAAAATACATTTGAATCTGTTGCCAAAGGGAATTCCCCAGGTGCCTGTTATCATCTGTGGCATTGTCATCTTACTGGAGCCCTTGCAACCTGTTTATTGTACTCGTAGGAATTTTTTATGCAAGAAGAATCCAAGAAGTCCTTCAAAATTGATATGCTTAACCAACCTGTTGTAGCATTCTCTCTGAGATGCAGACCACTGTTGAGTTCTACTTTGGAAAATCACTTGGCCTCCTCAAACCCCAAAGTCACAAAATAAATGAGAGGCAGACAGAATCCAGAATCTTTCAGCTACAGACCCAGGAGTCATAGCTGTCAGCATGTAAGCTGCAGCTAGTGTGGGGTAGTTCCTTAGGCCGCCACGGTGTGTTTCAATGCGAATGCCCTTGTTGGACTCCAGACCACGGTTCCTACTGATTTTTTTTTTTTTTTTTTTGATGCCAGGCTATGTCACACTTTTCCTGGTGCCTGCCTGGTAACAGAAATTAACAGTGATTCTCACATCTGTGGTGCAAGGCCCCATCGCTCTTAGGGGAGAGAGAACCTAAATTGTTGATTCAACAATAGTCCATATTCTAAAGTGGTTTCAAAAATCAAGCACCCAGTGTGTATTAGGCTCTTTTACCATATTCTCATTTACTATTTCTAATAATTTTATAAAATAGTGATCCTGTTCCCCATGCTTAAGGAGGAATCTGGAATTCCAAGAGATTAAGTTGCTCAGTGAACACACGTAGTGTAAGCGGCCAATCAAGGATTCAACTCCATCTTCATTTCACTCTTTATACTTGCTCCTGTAAAACGAGGATAAGAAACACTTCTACCTCAAAGGCTGTTCAGAAGATTGAATAAAATCGTTCCTTTAAATGCTTAGCTTGGTTCTTGACACCCTGCAAGCACTCAATAGATAAAAGAATAACTGTTGTTTCTTAATATTCACCACAAAGGCCCAATGCCTATCAGAAACGAGAGCTTATTTGGTGGGATTCCACATAGTTTTCCTATTAACAAGAGGAAGGATAAAAACTATTTGATCATCTCATTAGTTACTGAAAAAGTGGCAAAATAAACATCCATTTATGATTAAAAAAAAAAGTGGGTTGGAGGGAATGTACCTCAACACAATAAAGGCCATAAATGAAAAACCCAAAGCTAACATCATACTCAATGGTGAAAAATGGAGAGCTTTTCCTCTAAGATCAGTAATAAGACAGGGCGGTCCACTCTCACCACTTTCATTCAATATAGTACTGGAAGTCCTAGCTGTGGCCATTAGATAAGAAAATGAAATGAAAGGCATCCAAATCAGATTGGAAGATGCAAACTGTCAATACTTACAAATGACCTGCTGTTATATACAGAAAACCCTAAAGACACCACCAAAAAATGTTAGAATAGCAGGATACAGAATTTATAAAAATCTGTTTAATTTTTATATACTAATACAGAACTATGAGAAAAATTAATAATGCCTTTTATGTTTGCATGAAAAAGAATACCTGGAAATATATTTACCCAGAGATAAAAGATCTGTACACTGACACTGTAAGACATTGGTGAAAGAAACTGAAGATGAGTGTATTATGCTAAGAAATAAGGCAGACAGAAAAGACAAATAGCATATGATTTCACATATGTAGAATCTAAAAAACAAAAATGAACAAAAGACTGGAAACAGACCCAAAAATACAGAAAATAAATAGTTGGTTATTTAAGGGGGAAGAGAATGAAGTTGAGTGAAAGAGGTGGATTAATACATCCAAATGTCCAGTTATAAAATAAATCATGGGGATGTAATATACAGCCTAGGAAATAGTCAACAATATCGTAATACACTTAGGGTGACAGATGGTAATTAGACTTGTGGGGATTTTGTAGTATATAAAAATATCAACCACTGACATACATACGACAATAACTCTGTTGTATGTCAATATACTTCAATTTTTTTAAAGGCATCTAAATTGGAAAGGAAAAAGTAAAACTGTCACTACTTGCAGATGACATGACACTAAATATAGAAGACCTTAAATCCTGCACCAAAAAACTATCACAACTAAGAAGTGAATTAAAGATGCCAGATATAAAATCAATATAGTAAATTCTGTGGCATTTATACACACTAATAACTATCAGAGAAATTAAAACAATTCCACTTACAACTGCATCAAAAATAATACTTAGAAATAAATCTAACCAAGAGAGGGAAGACCCATAATCTGAAAAGTATAAAACCTACTGAAGGAAAGATTCATGCATTGTTGGTGGGAATATAAATTGGGACAGCTGCTATGGAAAACAGTATAGAGGTTCCTCAAAAAAATTAAAAATAGAAATACTGTACAATCCACCAATTCCACTTCTGGACATTTATCTGAAGAAAACACTAATTCAAAAAATTATATGCACCCTTATGTTCATTGCAGCATTACTTATAATAGCTAATATATGGAAGCAAACTAAATGTTCATCAATAGATGAATGGATAAAGAAGATGTGTGGGTGTGTGCATGCACACACACACACTGGAATGTTAAATAATATTAAAGAATGAGATCTTCCCATTTGCAAAAAACATGGATGGGCCTAGAGGGTATTGTGCTAAGGGAAATGTCAGAGAAATTCAAATATTGTATGATTTCACTTAGATGTGGAATCTACAAAACCAAACACGTGAACAAACAAAGCAAAACAAAGACTCATACAGAGAACAAACTGATGAATGCCAAAAGGGAGAGGTATGAAAGGATGGATTAAATAGGTGAAGGGGATTAACAGGTATAATACTCCAATTCTAAAATACATAAAACAGTGATATGGTGACAGATGGTAAAGATGTATTGTAGTGCATTACTAAAGTATATAAATATCAAATCACTATGTTGTATACTTGAAACTAATACAATATTGTA